GCCAGTCATTCTGGATTAGGCCTACCTACATCATCTCACTTGACTTTAATTATGTCTTTAAGGGCCTTATTTACAAACATAGTCAAACCTCAGATTATGGTTTTGGGGGTTAGGACTTAATGAATTTTGGGGGACACAAGTCAACTCATAACAAACCACAACACTCAAAACATCAATAACATATTAAAAAAATACAGAAACCTAGTAAAAACTGTAGTATCATTTTACCCATGTTAAATCATTAGAAATACATAAATACCCAATAAATATGGCACTTTACCTTGGAAAAGATGGGAAGTTTGCTTGTGGGAGTATGTATGTGCCTGTGTGTGTTTTCCTCCCAGCTTGGTTCTGCTGGGTGCAATTTTCTGTATTCACCTAGTATCTCAGCAGATGAAATGCCCATAAAGAAATGCAAAATTCTCAATATGTTAAAATTGTTCTCCAATATATCAGTCACATTTGAACACCACATTTTTTGTTTTTAAACCAGATTTTACAGGAGAACTGATAGTAGTTCACTAGGATTTGGTGTTCACTTTTTTACTTACAGATAATTTGAATTTAACCCTAGTCTTCTGACTAGGCATGGATTTATGTAGTCTCACTTGTTCTTGCCTTTTTTTTTTTTTTTTTTTTTTTTTGAGATGGAGTCTCACATTGTTGTCCCAGTTGGAGTGCCGTGGCGTGATCTTGGCTCACTACAACCTCTGCCTCCTGGGTTCAAGCTATTCTCTTGCCTCAGCTTCCTGAGTAGCTGGGATTACAGGCACCTGGTACTACGCCTGACTGATTTTTTGTATTTTTAGTCGAGATGGGATTTCACTATGTTGGCCATGCTGGTCTCAAACTCCTGACCTCGTGATCTGCCTGCCTCAGCCTCCCAAAGTGCTGGGATTACAGGCGTGAGTCAGCGCTCCCAGCTCTTGCTTTTTAAAATTTTCTTTTTATATTTTCAGAGAAGGTGTTGTGAGATTTGACTTTGCACAGCTACTAAGATTATTCTCTCAAAGTTTTTTATTTATTTGAGACAGGGTCTCACTCTGTCATCCAGACTGGTGTACAGTGGAGAGATCTTGACTCACTGCAAACTTGATTTCCCGAGCTCAGGTGATCCTCCCACCTCATCCTCTGAGTAGCTGGGACTACAGGCATGCACCACAATACCTGGCTAATTTTTTGTATTTTCAGTAGAGACCAGTTTTCGTCATGTTGCCCAGGCTGGTCGTGAACTCCTGGGCTCAGGTGATCTGTCTGCCTCACCTTCCCAAAGTGCTGGGATTACGGGCATGAGCCACTGCATCTGGATGAACTTATATTTTTAAAAACATTTTGATCACAATACATTAATTTTGTGGAGTAATGTACTGAAAAGTAAAAATGTATAACTCCTTCTTTTCCTCCTTCCATATGCCTTATTTGTATAATTAATTTGTCCTATTTGATCACAATTTAGGGATCTACTTTCCCTGAAAGTTTCATTATTTCAATAAGAATTGAAAATCCTTAGCTCAAATTGGCATAAACCAAGTTTTGAGCAGGTATTAGAATGAAATGAGGCATTTCTCACTTTGCCTGATTCTGATGTGCACATATGTCAATTATGATGGTTTAATTAAATGACACCAGTCCTTCAGCAACATGAGTGAAATTTCACCTTCCACAGTTTATTAACTGTATAAAGTACAAACTTTGCTTTTGACCCTTCAGTCCACAAATCCTACATAAATAACAAATGTGCATCATGATCAGTGACAGATCACATTTCTTTTTCAACTCAGTGAGTAATTTGTCACTGTGCATCTGTTATTCAGTTCATACACAGACAGCAAAGTATGTAGTTGTATTGCCTCTTTGTGTCTGTCACCCATTGATAAGCCCATGTAACATTTTATGAGAGTGAATAGTTGAAAGACAAATTGGCCAACAAAGATGAAAGTGCAGCAAAGAAATGAAAAGTGATAAATGCTCAAAGTGAAATCGGAAGTTATTAGAAGATTTGAAAATATTGATAGCAAAGCAAATATGGGAAGAGAGGTTGGCCTGCATGAAGCAGTGCTGTGAACCATACTGAATCAGTCCTATGAATATAAAAAACAAGGCAAAATCACATCACTACATTTTAGTTTAAATTTTACTGGGAACAGAAAGCTGCTTATGGTTAAAATGGAGTATTACTTTTACTTTAGATTGAAGACTGTATTTAAAAAATCCCCATCAGTTTGGTTAGCATTAAGGTCAAAGTATTGAAGTTAGTTGCCACATTGAAAGAAATAGTAATTACACTGAGATTGAGGAAGAAATTCTGCCAGTAAAGATTAGCTTCGTCATTCAGAAGTTGGCATGAATTGATGAATCCATTAGGTGAAGCTGTAGCACAGAGAAAGATCTGCTGGGAAATTTGCATCCACATTCCGTTTAAGATAGGTGATGATAATGATCATCACATATTTAATAATGATGAGAGAAGTTGTAAGGCGACTCCATCAGGAACTTGTGCCACAGAAGATGTAAGATGGAGAAGTAGCTTTAAGGAGTTACAGATAGAGTAACGCTTTTATTAGGAGACAACACAAAAGGTAACTTTAAAATAACACATGCTTATCTGTGAGTCTGAGAATCCTAGAGCATTAAAAAAATCATGAAACAGGCATCTCAACCAGTCATTTGGCATGCAAATAAAAGATCATGGGTTACAGTACCGTTCATTGATCCAAGACTTGTTTCAGTTGTGTTTTTGTCCAGAGGTTGGCAAAATAATTTTAACTTTTAGAGCTCAACTACTACTCTTGGATAATGTTGCAGGTCACCCCAGTTATCTTCAGTACTTGAAAGAAAATGTGAAAATTTGCTTTTTACTACAAATAGAAACTTAATTAATCCCGCCAATGAACCAAGGAGCTATTTGAACATTTAAGGCCTATTATCTTAGGTGGAGTTTCAGAGACGTTATTGATGCTACAAGTAGAGATTATGCATTTCTGTAGCTGAATTTTGGAAGAAATGTGACATAAAGTATGCATTAGAAATATTTAAGCATCATTGCAGGAAGTAACAGTGAGTAATATGTGTGTAGTATGGCAGAAACTTTTACCACACTGTGCAAATAACTTTGCAGAATTTGAATTGAACATAGAGTTATAGAGGAAATACAGCCATATACTGCATAAGGACATTTTGGTCAGGATGGACTGCATATACAACAGTGGTCCCATAATATTAAAATACCATATTTTTACATGCCTTTTCTATGTTTAGATACACAAATGCTTAAAACCATTGTGTTACAGTTGCCCATGGTGTTCTGTATAGTATCATGCTGTTTATGTTTACATTGTAGGTGCAATAGGCCTTACCATAAAGCCTAGGTGTGTAGTAGGCTACACTTCTGGGTTTGTGTAAGTGCACTCTTTGAGGTTCACACAATGAAGTCACCTAACCACACATTTCTCGAAACATATCTCTGTCATTAAGCAACACCTAACTGTAGTTGACTTCGCGAAGGAATGTTCCACCATTTGAGAGACTTCAGATATGTACTCATAGGAACTTAGTGAGGGCAAATCTTTCAGCATAAATGAGGAAGGATGGAGATGTCTCAGGGGAAGGGATGCTACCAAATGTCTTCACTTTAAAAGAGATAATACATGACATTGAAAGTACAAAGGATAAAATTGTTGATAGTAAATCCAAACATAGGAAGGAGTATTGCAACTTACTAAGGTATAGAAAAGATACTTGCTCTGAATTGTAAGTTATACAACACAGAAGAACAACCCTGTCCAAACTACCCCTGATTAGTTTTTTATAAAGAAGTAACCCTAATTTTCAATGTTTCTAATGTTTTAAATTGCAGTTTACTAAATATTATTTTTACTACTTTTTTCATTTTCCTATATACTTATAGAGAATTATAAATGTTTTGATAAAAATTCTCAAAGGTCATGTAATAATTATACTATTTTCTCTTAATTATTAAAATTACTTTGCATGATTTCAGCTTGCAGGTTAATTTTTTTTTGTTTTTGAGACAGAGTTTCACTCTTGTTGCCCAGGCTGGAGTGCAATGGTGCACTCTCGGCTCACTGCAATCTCCACCTCCTGGATTCAAGAAATTCTCCTGCCTCAGCCTCCGGAGTAACTGGGATTACAGGCATGTGCCACCACACCAGGCCTAGTTTTTGTATTTAAATAGAGATGGGGTTTCTTCATGTTGGTCAGGCTGGTCTTGAACTCCTGACCTCAGGTGATCCGCCCATCTTGGCCTCCCAAAGTGCTGGGATTACAGGCATGAGCCACTGCGCCCGGCTGCAAGGTAATTTTTATGAAGCAGCACTACCATGCAAAGCAAGGACTGCCTTTCCCCAAAATAAACATTCTTTGCCTCTTGTTGCCATGACTTTCCTTCAGCAAACATTACCAATGTTTTATTGTCTTTATTGAATTCTTCCTAGACTCTTAGTAGTGTTCCCTATTAACAATGCAGGCTACCCTTTACTCTGTGGCACCTTGTACTCCATCTGCTCCTTGACTGACATCTTTCTTCATCTTCCCTGACTCTTTTCTGATTTGCAGTCTTGACAGCTGTTTTTTTGTGTGTGTTTATGTGTGTGAATTTTACGTTGTCTGATTCACAAGAAACTACCTTTATGGTATAATTCCACCCCTCCTCTCATCCCATTCCTTCTTCCCCACCCAGGCCCCTGTTTCCCTTCCAGCATCATTATCATTTCCCCCTTGTCTATTTCCCCCTTGTCTAGTTAATTTAGGTTAGTGGTTATTTGGTTTCTAGAGCGTGTACTTAGGGTCTCATCCACGATCCCAAGGCCTTATCAAGGCTTTGCCTTTTCAAATGTATTCATCTTTCTTTTGTGTTCCAAGAAATATCTTCATTTCCTGGTGTTCAATTTTTGTTCTTCTCTCTAGTGCCTTGGTGAGATGAGATGACTTCAAAGGAAGGAGCCCTTTTACATGAGTGCCTAGCAGTAAAAAGCTTTGAGATAAAACAGTGATTTCCATTAGGGACAAAAAGAGGGTAGAGCAAAGCTGTAAGACTTTATTCCGTAAACCCATAAAGGGGAAAAACTGGAAATATAAAAAAGTGTCAACAGTATAAAGGAAAGAGGTAGACCCATTCATGTGGCCACAGAGAGATTAGAAAATAAGTGTCTTGGGAGATGTGTGGTACTTAAAGTGTGCCAAGGGTGATGTGACTGCTAGTAGCTCCTCATTCTTTCTATTGTACACCCAACACTGCCAGCTCACCCTTGCCCTGGGCTGCCGGAATAGCCATCCATCAGTGGAGCGCAGCTGGGAGCCGAGAAACCTGTTCTTTCACCACCAGAAGAGAAGCGCAGAGCCCATAACTGCAAGGGATAGTAAGAACAGAACAACAAATCCATCCAGTAAAAAAACTGGTCACAGGATAGGGAGGATGCAGAGAACTTTATTTAGGTAAGCTGTGAGGTTGGGACATCTGTGAACTGGTTTGGGGGCCTGACAAAATGAATAACCTGAGTGTGAAATGGCTGACTACAAATAAGCGTTTGGGGCATAACCTCAGTGTAAATTAGGATCTGGCTCTAATTCCTTTATTTTTCATTTTTGTTGTTTGACTTGACCCATATTATAGGTCATTGCTAAATTACTTTGGAAGTACCCTTTGTCTTGATTGTGTTACTACTGTATGTGGATGGTGCTAAAAATTATCAAAATTAATTTGGAAGTTTCAATTTTGTGAAGAGATGGTGGGTATTTTCTAGGTCATAATACAAAAGTGATTTGTGATCTAGCTATTGGGTGCCTTATAATTGTATAACATAATTATAGATAGAATTGAATCATCAAATAAGGTGGCAAGATTAATGGGAGTGGCTAGGTTTAATGTTCCAGGTTATATTAATTTTAGATAAAATGAAATTAGTGTTCCTATGGCCAATTGAGTCAAGTTCCTGAATTACTCTATTCAGCTGGGATTGACTCAATTTAACAAAATGGTACTATTAGAGTTTTTGAGGATAATGAGAAAATGGAACTGAAATTAAAATTCTCTCTTGTACTTCGGACAAAATAATTTCTGTGAACAGCAATTAAGAAGGTCCATATAAGAGATTCACCTTCTGCTCTAATTTGATTTAGTCAGATTGCATGATCTTAAGCTCCCTGAAATTTTACTTGGAAAATATTATGACTTAACATAGGTCAGTGTCCCCTGAATCATGTGATTTGGGGTGTGTGTGTGTGTGTGTGTGTGTGTATATTTTAAAGTAGTGGCACACAAACAAGAGATTAGGAGTTGATCTTCAAAAGACAGAGAAAGTTAGAATTACAAAATTCTTACCTGTTTTTAAAAAAGCTAAAAATAGTTTGGGAAGCTCTTTAGACAATTTACACTGAGTGCCTTTGGAACCAGCAGCAAAGAAGTAAGTCCTTTCTTGTAAGTATGGGTCCTGAAATGGATTGGGTTTAGGCATACTTGACTCACCTGTTATGAGGATGCTCCTTGGTGGAGCCCAACCTTGTGGGTGTTCTTGGGCAGTGCTTGACTTCTGGGGACATGGGCACATGTTTTCAAGAGGCTGGACAAATTATTGTTGGCTGGGTGCCAATTCCATGTGGCAGCCTTCAGTTAAGTGACATCTACATTCTGGTTACCATAAAGATTTTTTATGACCAGTGGTATGCTGTAGAAAAGGCACATTTTTAGGCATTTAGTAAACCAGAGGTATTGGTAACTAATAATAACTAATAGTAATAAGTACTGCTGCAGAGGTACTAATAACAGTAAATGTTAGGCTCATTTAAGAGCTGCGTTAACAGTAATTACCTCTAGCATAACACAAACATTGCTCAGTCTGTACATTTCACATTCCATTTGTGTCAGAGTCTTGTATTTACTGGGTAAATGCCTGGGAATTCAAACCATGGTTGGGTAAAGTTGATTTGAGGGTAGGACAGGGAGTAAGGAGTTAGAGAGGGTAGAAGAGGTACAAGGGCCTCTTCTGACTTGCAGTGTCAAGGCTTTTGAAGAGCCTCTTGACTAGGGTTTGGTGTGTGGAGAATAGAAAGCTTAGTTGGGAAGCCTTCTTTCCTCCCAAATTCCACCCTGATAACAATAGAAAAGCATCTTTGGCCTGTATGACATTAAAATATTTGAGCATTAAGAGTCAGATGCTAGGCTTGAGAAGCTATTTAAGCCAGGCTAAATACAACTGTAGTGGAGATGAACTGAGGAATAGGTACACTGTTTCTTTTAGTAACTAATGTTTAATTTTTAAAGAACACAGCAGGCCTTTTGAAGGCAGTTTAAGGAATGGGTGTGGAAGGGGGTGTGGGGGAAGGAAATCTCAGCAGAATGCTCTTAGATATTTCCTGTTATATAAATGCTACATACTTCTCATGCCTTCAAACTGATAGCAAGTAGGACTGAAGCCGGTTGAGGCTTACATTTAATTACTGTTACAAAGAATGTAGAAATGATATGGGTAATCAAAGAACCTTAAAAACTGGCACAAATGCAACTTTTGCTTTTTCATCCAAATCTTACATTGTGGAATTTGAATGTGGTGTGATGAAATACACTTGAACAAAAAATAAATGTGTTTAATTTTTTTAAAAATGCTTTTGTTTAATTCATAAGACTTTCTGTTGTTGTAAAGGTGCTGTCTTGGGGTAGACATTCCAGATGATAAGTATCTCATTTACGGAATTCCCAAAATAACTCAAACATTTATCTAGCGGTATTTTAATGTGTGCTTCTGATGAAGAGTGCTACACTGATATAATACTTTTAGTATCTACTAAATAGATAATGATGACTCAGAGTAGTTAGGGAGAATAAAGCCTTTTATACACATAGCTCAAATACATGCAGAAATTGTAAGTGAAAAGGAATTTAGTAAATTGAGATCTTGTGTTAGTAATGGGAAGTTAAAAATCCTTTTTTTCTCTCATTTATGTTACTTCCTTTCCCAGACATAGCCAGGTTTTTATGTACTAGTGACTGAAAGACACAGCTAATAAAAGCTTTTTTTAAAAATTCTTCCTCGATTTCAGGGAAAGTGATAGAATTGAATAAGGCATTTGGGTAATTGTCTGCTGTAGCCTGTGGCATTCAGGGATGAGAATAGCCATCAAACTTGTAAATATTTTCTTTATATAAATGCTATATCTGTCAGGTTCATTGCAGTGCTTCTGTGGGGGCAGAATGTCTCAATTTCAGAACTGGCTGTCACTTAGCTGCTTATTCTGGACAGTACCCTTCACTTTTATGAACCATAGTGTTTTGTAAAGTGGAGCCTCATTATATTTATCTCATAGGATTTTTTTGCATATAAATGAGTTGGAATACATAAGTGCAGTAGGCCTAAGTTCGTGTCTATTTGAAACATGCTTCAGCAGGGCCATGGGAAATCTTATTTCAGTTGGTGAACAATCTCAAGTCATTTACTCACTTGTTTTTAAAATTAATTCAACCAGTATTTGTTGAGTGTGTATGATGTGCGTTATTCTGTGTACTCTGGAGTATACAAAGATCAATGATGGCAGCCCTGGACTCTCAGATGTCTAGAATATATAACTAGAAGGTAGTCAATATCATAAGAAAGAGAAGATCAGATACTTTGGGATCCAGGGTAGTCAAAACCTTGTTGGATAAAAAGGTAATCTCTCAGCTCTGTGTCCCGAGATCTAAAGCTCTTCTAAGTTGAAACAGTGCTCTTCATGAACTATCTCTTCACAAATTAGAACCACAGTGCTCTGTAAATCTTGTACCAGAGCTTAGACACGTAGTTGTTACCAAGGCACCAAGTGATTGGGCAATATGGTTTCTGTCCCAGCCTATATGATGTTGTACGTGAATTTGTCATTTGCACCATGGAAGTTTCCCATCAGGACAAACCACCATGGTTTGTGAACATGGGATATCTCTGAGGAAAACAGACCTTTCATATGGCCACAGAGTGTCGTTCTTTTCCGTCTGAACTCTGGTGCTGATTTTTAAAAGGCATGCACTGATTCAAGAGAACCTAATTTAATATACTGGAGTTAGACATAACTAGGAAACCATTCATCCATCAGACATTTATTGAGAACCTACTGTATGCTAGACATTGTGGGGATAATTTAGTTAGGTGGAATAAAGCTTTTTATACACATAGCTCAAATAAATGCAGAAATGATAAGTGAAAAGGAATATAAGTGAAAGTCTGGCAGAGATTTAGGGGAGGGAGAGGTTATATCTGATAGATGTGCATTTGAGTCAGGCTTTGAGTAGAGCTATCATATCTCCTAGTCTGTTTGGGCCAGCCATAGTTTACTCCAGATGTCCTGATGTCCCATCCAATTAACATCTTAATGGTCCAAATTGTTTCAGTTTGGATGATAAATTATATGGTCTCCCAAGTTTTGAGAATCAGGTAAGACTTGGCTTAATGGAGATAGAGAACAGCCTGGGTAAAGATAAATGGCATAAACAAAAAACATGGGTGATGGAACACTTTGATGCGCTTAGAAAAAGCATATTTAGTTTGACTATAGCTTTGGGAACAGGAAAGGGAAATCATTGGAAAGAAGGTTGGGAGGTGAGTTGAGGTCAAATTTTTGAGTATCCCGAATGCCAGACTAGATACCTTGATTTTATGTAGTTGGCCATGGAAACCTGTGACTATATATATATATATTTTAAGATTTGGAAAGATCCTTGTATCTACCGCCAGATATACAAAAGGGCTCTTTTGGGTAAGGGATTTAAAACAAATTTTTTATAACCCATTGCCAATTAAAGATCATTTAGATATTTTTCTAAATTAGTGAGGAAATAAGATATGAATTACTGCAGTGTACAGTGAAGTGTAACAAAACCTAAAAAAATCATTAAGTTGGTCCGGATCCAAGATGGCCATTTAGGAACAGCTCAGGATTGCAGCTCCCAGTGAAAGCGCAGAGAGTGAGTGGACACCACATTTCCAGACGGATTTTTATTGCCCACAGACCAGGAGATTCCCAGGCGGAG